AATTCTATGTTACTAAAGAGTTGTATTGTCCGGAGTAAAGTATTCTCCCTCTTCTCTACTTTTAGGCTGAAAAGGACTCTAAGGAGGAGATCTTAAAAGCTTTCCGGCTGTTTGATGACGACGAGACGGGCAAGATATCATTCAAGAATCTGAAGAGGGTAGCCAAAGAGCTTGGGGAGAACCTGACAGATGAAGAGCTGCAGGTGAGGCTCTACATCATGCCATAAAACAGCTAATAATAAAATATCAAAAGCATATTACTGTATCTAGCTGGTGGGTTGTGTTGACAAAGCCAAAGGCTGTGAAGGCAATTTAGAATAATGTCAACACAGCGTTTGCTCGTGAATGCTATCAAGCCAGCTTGTTTTGCTTTCTCCATCTCTCAGTTCTTCTTTTCATTTCCTCGTGTTTTGTGTGTTTCTGCAGGAAATGATAGATGAAGCGGACAGGGATGGAGATGGGGAAGTGAACCAGCAGGAGTTCCTGCGCATTATGAAAAAAACCTGCCTGTACTGAAGCAAAAGAAAGGCATTAAGGTTGGGTGGACCAGGCTGGATCAGTGTGAGGGTGTTTTGCTGCTCATCCAGAAAACAAAACCTTATTATCGTTGTATAGTGCCATAATTTGTTTTTAATCAGTCAAGACATTTAAGCTTCAAAAACTACAATCATTACAAAACCTTTAAAGACTTGAACAAAAAGTCTAGCAAAATGCCAAACCACCCTTCTTTGAGTTACATGACGACATACTGCCAAAACTGTAAGAGTACACCCTCTTACCTGTTAGAATGCTGCATTCATTTATGAAGGATATATATTGATAATATTATAGAGGTTATTCATCGTGCCTGCACCAATACAGTGACATGTAGTACATTCCAGCGCTTTGTGTGCTACTTTGTGCATTATGTTAGCAGTGTCTGTTCACTCTCGTATACTGGTGACTCTCATTACCGTCTCATGTTTCGGCTCTTTTATACTGGTTTTCCTGGGAAAATTTGCAATGCAGTGAAGGTGTTTGTTAACCACTGACGACTGGAGAGCGCTCTGTCTCATCTCCGTGCTGCCTGTGGATTTGTGCCTGTGCCTCTTAAAGGGGCAATTCTCGCAATCAGGGAAGCTGCCTCTTAGCACACCATCATCTTGGATCCCACACCTACAGGCCATTACACACCAAGTGCATTTTAAAAAAAAGTGACATAAAATTTAGAATTTTTTTCTGTTCCAAACTTTTGCGGAAAATTCGTCCTCAAAACCAACATCAAGCGATGATGAGTCGGTCCTGGGAAATTCTGCGTTCATCCAAGCTGTATCACGACTGCTTCCGGACATATTTCATGATGTCAGTCGGGCAGTTTGAGCTCTTGTTGGCAGAGTTGGGAACACATTCGTGTTCAGAGAGCCGACTGACCCAGAGCAGTGTCTGAGGTAAAATACTGGTATCTAACTATTTGTATATTCAGTACTGTGCATGATTCAAGGTACAGCACACTTCTTGCCAACTGTCCCCCCAAAAAAAAAAAAAATCAAGCTTGTTTCAAACATATAAATGACTGCATTAAGAATAGGTGACTCTCATAAAATATTTTTAACCAACGAAATATTCGCACAGATTTTATGCGTCCGGTGTGTAAAGCCTTAAGGCTGTGTAAAAAAAACATGGATGTAGCCTTGTGAAACCTTGTTTAGAAGCTTTCACTTGAACAATTGCCCATTTCATTTTTTTTAAATAACTCTTTCCCCCATAAAGATGATCTTTGAATTCCTCCCCGTACCTTTAATGACCACTTTGACACCTCTGTATTTATCAATAAAGGTGTGGTTTGACCACCTTTAGTGGTCAAATAGTTTCCAAGGGTAGTTGCATTTGCAGACACCACCCTCACTAAATTCTGACCAACACACAGTCATTTTGTTGTACAAGCAGGCCTGAAATGTGAAAAAAACCCAAAACCCAATCAGTCTAGAAAACAGCTTCAAGGGTTACTCTTAGTAGGCTTTTAACAGGTAACAGGTAACGCTGGGTTTAACTCTTTAACAGGTAAAGAGTTAAACCCAGCGAGCCCTGGGTGTGACTGTGAAAGCAACAACACTGCTTGCCTATATAATAGTGAGTTGTCAACCAACAGGTATACCTGCACTAATACAGTTTTTAAAAAGAAGAAGCCAAATAGCATCATGCTGATGTGAAACATGTGTCTGAGACCCTTATTTAGTGAGGAAGCTGTGTACTTAGCTTATAGGTCAAATAAGTACTACAACAGTTTGTTTAAAGACAATTGGAACTACAACAGCTGCCCCCAGTGGCCTGTGAAGGAAATGCAGGCTTAAGTCAGTTTGCATTGGCTTCCCTTTCCAGGTCCAGAAGCTGCGTCCTTGTTTTTTTATATACAGTTTTTGGTCACACTGTCTTAAAGTGATTGTTAATATATTTTCTGTCATGCTTTTGTGCGTATTTTATCACCAATATTCCTGAATGTTTTACATAATGTCTTGTGAATTGGATTATGTAAACAGCACAACAGTATTTCAGTTAAAATTAAACCCATTGAAGCAATTTGTCCTCCTGTCCTGTTTATTTTTACTTTCATTTTTAAATGAGCAGTGCTCATTTGAGTGATTTGACTTTGGATTTATCTCCAATTTTTTTAAGTTGCATCACAAAACCTTGAATGTATTTTTTTCTGATGCTATTAAACACAGATCCTATGCGGTCTTCTGCTGCTGTAGCCATTCTTCTTCAAGGTTTGACAGGTTCTGTGCTCTTCTGCATATCTTGGTTGTAATGAGTGATTATTTGAGTCACTGTTGCCTGAAGTTCTGTCAGCTTGAAGCAGTCTGGCCAGTCTGACCTTCAGGAGGTCATCTTGACTATGCTTCAGTGTATTGTGTTGCTGCAATTTGTCTTTAGATGTGATCTTTAATAAACAGCTGAACAGATATAACCAATCAAGTGGCCAGTGAGCATATATGCAGACTGGTTGTGCGTTAAGCCCAAGTAACACCTACCCCTATGCAAAACAGCATGTTGTCATGTGGCCTCCAAACAAAATACATAAAATAGTGATATTCTCCAGAGTAAATGACAGTAGAAAATGGTGTATATTGTGAGTCACTAACAAACAGTAAACTGTACAAATATAATATAGAATTTACAAACCAATGACAAGGCCTGATTAGTAGCGCTGAAGATCAGACACTGGGTCACAGAAAAATCTTCCCCACATCCTTAAAGAACTGCTTTGATTGTCCCGATGAGTTGCTGAAAAAGCATTGATTATGAGGATTTAGCTCAAATGTTTGTGAGAATAATATCTAAGAAGGGTTTGGTTAATTAAAAAAAAATCCAAAATCAAAATGTGCAGATCTACCTGGAGATTATTGCAGAGGAGAAGGTGTATGAGGAGCAAGAACCGAGTGTGTCTGAGGAGTGACGGGGAGCGTGGGATGACAATGAGCAGAGGAACACTGAGCATTGTGTTCAGGCTGTAGCTAGCGCACATGCTGACCATCTTAATGATAGATGGTAGATGGTGGAGTTGATCTGTTCTTGGGCCTCTAGCACTGTCACATGGCAGGCAACATCCATGATATAAAGCTTCCACTGATGTTTAGCTCCTACAGGAAAACACATTTGGTTAGTTTAGGGCAAAGAATCCAGTGGCAAGTCTCCAGTGAGAGACTGTTGTTCATTGGAATATTCCAAGTATGCAAACTAAATATCATAGGAGAGCTTATGAGACCACAAACACAGACGAGGTCCAGTTCAGAGACACAGGTTTAGCAGAGGTGAAGCGTAGAGGACAGCTGGCAGCTGCACCCATTCATGTCAGTAACCACTTGTCACAAAGAGCAGTCTTTCCATGCGTGACTCTGCATAATTTTGAGCACTGAAGAATTTTAAATGATAAGTCATCTAAAGAAATCATCCTGTGCATAGTTGAAGGTAAAAATAAACTTTACAAATGAAAATCAGATTTGCTGATCTGCCTTTTCCCCCGCACAATTTCAACATTATGAGTAAACTAATGCAGGTATGAAAATCAGACCTAGGTTGTTGTCTCATACTTTTACATCCCTGCCTGGTAGCCTGTGGATCTTTTTCCTTTCTTGCTTTTTGCCTGCTGTTGCCTCTGATTTTTTGTCTTCCAGCTGTTATTATCCACTTTGAATTTGTTATTTAATTTGTTTGTAAGGTGTCCTTGAGTATTTTCAAAGGTTCCTATTAAAAATCTTTATTAACTGTAGGGGTGGGTTTAAAAACTTGATTTTCCAATTCAAATCAATTTTAGCTTGAATAACGTGATATCGATTCATTAAATCCTGAATTGATTTTTAAATATAAATGTACCCAGCCCTACACACAGAGTACTTTCAAATAACAGCAACATCCACACTGTCTGCACAGCTGACAAATTGTTGCGATAGCAAGAGGGAGAAGTTGGTGAGCGTCAGAGGGTGTCCGGCGCTAGGCCCAAAGCAGTAGTTGACTACAAAAAGTGATAGAGCAAGGCTCAAAATCCTTTTTTGTCATATTTATTATAGTTAATATTTCATGTTTATAGTACCTTATGTTATCCATATTTTAACCTTTATGTGTCACTTTTCTATATGTTGACAACACACACACACACACACACACACTACACAATGTAAATTTATTACAGAGAAAATGTGACATTTCAAGCACCAAGACCCTGCGTTTTTGTTGTTTTTAAACCAGAGACCTCCAACTCATTTTACAACACAAGCAAATACGAAAAAAAAGTAGAATTTCAACACTGTCTCACTTTCTCTATATGAAAAAGAAATCCTGCTGTAGTAAATGAAAGAAATTACTCTTTGAGCTTGAACTGTAAGAATAAAATGTGTAAAATAAAAAAATATGGAAATCTAAATCTATGTTTGACACCCCTGATTTAAACTGTTTCATTGTTATAATGTGAGATGACATCTGATAATCCAAACTGCCAGAAATCATTATAAGTGAATAAATAAAACCCCATTAAAGAATTAAACTTTATTTGAAGACTTGAAGGTGCAAAACAAACAAACAAACAAACAAATTGCACCAGCACAGCATTAAAAGGCTCATATCAGACATTTACCATGGCACTGTCACTTATTAAGTATGACTTTGTTTGATGCTATCATCTACACAAGCACACAATCAGAAACATTTACTTTCTATTCATTCAGTTTTTCCAGTTACAGCAACTCTAATGATCAACAGACAAACAGAAAAAAAACCCCATTGAGAATCATAGCTGCTCAATAATGTAAGACTATCTGACTGAGATATTTCATAGGCTGCCTGCGTGAAGGACACATACTGGCTCAGCTTTGACTCAGTTTAGTCTTCGAGGCAAAGTCTGCACTAAGTTTCCGCATCACCTCTGCATGACTCTGTCCTGCTAGCTCCTGTCGTACACTCGAGTAATTTTCCTTGACAAAGTTGGCAAAAGGCGTGGGAGCACGTGGCTTAGAAGGCGTCAACAAGACAAGCTGACCAGTGCAGAGGGCGCACACAAATCTCTGCGTGTCCAGTGACTTGGAATGACGGCCGATCCTATATGGAATAACAGTAAAAGAGACATTAATCAGGCTGAAATGAGCTCAAACGCTCTGGAAAGACACAATGACTCATAAAATGGAGTAAGTGGTTTTGGTTTACATACGTGTTCTTGCAGCGAGTGCACTGGTACTGGAATTTGTACTTGATGTCATAGCTGTGGCAGCGCGTGACCATTGGCAGCTCCGGATGTGCCAGTGTTGCTTTGCGAGCATAGAGCTTCCAGAAGTTTCCATGCCCGTCCCTTACACTGTTAATCAGCCATGTTGCAGCATGACACATTTCATGTATCAGTGTGTCCCTGAGACGATCTAGCAGGGAAGTACAAAGACAATGTTGTCATACAAGACGAGGTACCTCGTATATATGCGCACGCACATATTCAGGAACAACAGACCACAGTAAGAGGTTCTAAAGCTCCACAAGGTCGCAGCTTCCCTGACAAGCAAATAATTCTAGGGGACCTTAGTAAGCCATTACCTGCAGAGTCACAGACTTTCTCTGACAGTTCTATGCGGGCGTAGCGGTTTCCTCCACCCTTTTCCTGCCCTGTAACGCAGTAGCCAGCTGTTTTACGCATCTTCTTATTCCAGGTCACTGACATATTCGCAGGGAGCTAAAAAGAAAGGAAGTTAGAAATAAATGAAAACAAAGACTCACCCTGTTAGCAAAGACATTAAACAATGCAATGTATAAATATTTTGTTCTTTACACAGAGCGTTTCATCATATTTAATTTACAATAATAATAATAATATAAAAAGAATACTGGAGTTTTAAATTGTACATCAATATTGAAAGAACTGCATGGGAGATTCAGGCCTTTGCTCACAGTTCATATCTTCATTCTTGAAACTCATTAGTGAGCATTTTATCATTTAGCACAACAGCTATCCTACACAAAACAACCAGAGAGTTTTGCAGCTTCAATATGTCACCCATCCTTGACTTGTTTATGTCTAACAACATAACGCACGATATATTACAGATGGTGGTTCTACTATGGCTGTCAATGGACTTTAGGCAACCAGTGAAAGCAAGGGGTATTTCACAAAGTCTGGAGATTTTCTTTTACGTCACGTGCATCAAATTAAATATTCCTCAGCTTCAAATGGAAAACAGTCTAGTAAACAATGACTCTTCATTACCTTACTCTCAAACACTGTGGTGTTGTACAGGTGGTAGAGTTTACTTGTGAGTGCCTCTTTGTTATGCTTAAAGCTGCCCACATAGCTGGAGCTGGGATTTGTGAGCGACTGCAGGAAGCAGCCTGGGGTTTTACACAGCATAATCCTAGAGGGAAAGAACAGAGCAAAATGGAGACAAATGTTCGTGTATAAAAGGAAAAGGCTCACTATCTGGTGTCCAATTAGTGCATTCACTAGACGCACTTGCTGGTTGGACCGTGTCTCGGCTCGCTCTGACTGACGGCGGGCTTCAAGATCGATGATTTTCCAGGTGTCTTCACACCTAATAATTTAGAGCCTGGTGTTTGGGATACAGGAGGAACTGAGACTGTCCCAGCAGGCTCCTTATTGCTCTCTAAATTTAATTGGAAAAAGGAGAGCAAGAGATATGAGCATGACAAAAAAACAAAACAAAAGACTGTCAGATTCAAACATTCAGAATTAAGCAGTTACCGTGCCTTTGCTGTTGTTCGGTAGGAATGAATTCCCTATGAAATTGTTTTTCTTTTTCAGTCTCTCCAGCAGGGATGTGAACTCCTCCTCAGAACTGCTTGAATTATCCAGCTTGGAAGGCACTGAAAAAGTGCGCTTGGGAGAGATCACTAATGATTTAGCTTCGTTTGAAGGACGACACAAAGGAGACAGAGCAGGAGGAGAGGGGAGTGACGGCGAAGTTTCATCGTCATTGCACAGAGGAGGAGTATTCTCACTGGTCTTTGGAAGTGACTTGGGCCTCGTGTGACGGGTTCTCCAAGTGCTCTTCAGCACAATATTGTCATCATCCTCATCGTCGCTGACAAAGACAGGTGAATTAAACAGAGACAGGGGTCGCCTTGTTTGAGGCTGGGATGTTGGAGTATTGGTCTTCTTAGGAACTACAAAAAAATTTGAGACAAAAAAAATTAATTAACAGACTTTTACATATGCATCTGACACGTATTTAAAAAAGCAGCAACAGGGAAATTAGAAAAAACAAGACGCCTGATACATCAACAAAAGCTTTGTATACAACCAGAAAATAATTTGCAAAGTGAAGAACAACCCTCTCCCGGTTTGTAAGCCACACAGCAAGTGAACACTTTGTCACGTAGGCATAAACAACTGGGTGTGACTGACTGATAATCTAGGCCGTAGATCAGTCAGGTGCAACTTCCCCAGATGAGATTTTAGCTCATTTTCCCATTAATGAATTAAATCAATATCACTGTTATATTAGAAGCAACACAACAGGTTGCCTTGCTGATGCAACTCCAAAGGGATTTGTTTCTCCTCCCGGGATCAAATGGTAGGTAAATGTGAAGGCTATGTCATTTATTGTTGCATGTGACATCTCCCGACATTATTTGGGATCATGCTGGAAGTGAGGAACAACAGCAAAATTACCTTTGAAAGATGATTTTGGCTCAACAAAGTCATCATCTGATGAGTAGTCGTCAACTATAAAATTATGGAGGCTGTAATAACCCAGGGGAAAAATGTTTAGCAGTAAATAACATTTACATTTACTTCTGACGGGAAATAAAAGTGGAGGATAAAAATTCATCGGACTCACCTGTCCTCACTGCCACTTTTAGATGTCTTCTTGGGTTTGGTATTGGGAGTTTTTGCCCGCTGAAGAACTTCAATGAGCAAAGATAAAATATCCAAAAATTGTATTGGTGGGATATATAGACAAAATCTAACCAGAAGAACGACATTAGCACTTACATGTTTCAAAAGCGGTATTGTCATCATCTGAGCTCACCACCACAATGTTTGAACTGAAAATAATAAAAGTGCTTTTAAATACTTTAGTTATATCATAATATAGTCATTAGTGTGAAAGTATAAATCAGATAGAAAATCTAGATCAGAAAAAGACAAAATGCTTCATGAAAACATTTTCATACCTGCCTGTCTTTGCAGGACTGCGTGGCTTGTGTGAAGAGGCTTTAGCTTGGGGTGTGGCTTTTTCCATAAGAACTAAGGCATTAAAGGGTAATAGGAAAAAAATTAAATCCATACATGAAACCAAAGTCACACCTTTAAGCATTGTACATTAATAAAAAATTTTTTTTTTAAAAAAGCCCAAACACTTACACCTGTCAAATTCATCGTCACTCGATTCGCTCAAAGCAGAGTTTCTCCACTTACTTGCTGATCCATGACCACTTGTGCCAGCATGACGACTCTTACCAATTTTACTCATCAACTGCAAACAGAAGCAACAACAATAATTATGTTTATTTATTTATTCATTTTCAATCATTTACTTCATGGTGATACCATCACTTTTAAACGCAAATCAACAAAGTCAACCTCTGCCATAGCGGGTCTCCAAAAAAATAAATAAATAAAATCTGTATATTTAACAAAATTATTTTCTTAGACATTAATAAAGTGCTACCTGAGTACCAACATTTTGACATTAGACTATCAATTGATATTTTTCTTTTTGTGTTGGTTACCATATTTGCTCAAGCCAGCATAAAAGTTGAATGAAAATAGCATTTTTGTAACTAAGAATGTTTCTAGAGGCTTCAATTGACATTGTGAAATACAACTGTACTCCATTCAAAAATCATTTTTTATACAAATATTTATTTAAGCAACCAGCCATCACACAGTTTTGATGCACCTGCCCCAAATTACAAATCGTGATGCCATGACATTTATTATGGCAGATAGACCATTGAAATTTGACCAAATTCATTGAAGTTTGAGTTTGTCTTTAATAGTTTTGAGATATTCATGCTGAAACAATTCCTCAGATGTAAAAGTGCGGAAAAAATATTGTGGACCTAGGTTGACGGACTATTTAAAAAATGTATCTCTTAAAAGGTATCTGATATATGAAGCTAAACGGGAGACGATCGATCATCTCTCCTCTGTCTCAAACGCTGTACTTGAGAGCTATTCTCTGTTCCAGCAACCCAGGCTAATAGTGCCAGTGTGTTTACCAGTTTTTAATGAAGTTCACGATAATTTAGGGGTTTAAAAAAGTATGCAGCAAACCTTCTTTTCCGTTTCCTCCAGTCCTCCCTCATCCATCCACCCCATTCTTTTAGCCACTTTGTGAAAAGACTTGGACGTAGCATCGTTCATAGTTTCCTTCAAGTCTGCAATAGCACACAATAGCACGAGCCATTTAAAGTTTGCTCCAGCGCTAACATCAAGCTGGTTTTTTATAACATCATAAAACCACAGAGTGCTGCTAATTGATAATTATTACCAAACATTTTTCATTTAACCAATTTTTTTTTCTGGTTGGAACAAAATATATCTTTATGGTTGAGGCGTTACAGCCTTTAGCTGAGCAGCGTTAGCGTTACCGTTAGCAACGGGGTCTCTAGCGTTAATCAACTAACATTAACAAGAGCTAGCTGGTTCCTTTTCCCCCATTAGCACAAACTGAATTACCGACTTATAAAACAAACAAACTAACCCGACAATATTTGTTATTTCATTACCAATTACGCTTCTCTTATAAGAGAAGAAGAGTGGCTGAGAGAATAGGGAAGCAACTACGAAGTTAAATTCAAATCTTGTGCTCCATTGCACCGGAAGTTGTCACCGTGATATTGGACCAATCGTAGCGCGTTCGGAGTGGCATTGAACCATCTTGTCCACGCCTACGTTTGCAGGAAAATAATCACGTAGACAAATTCCACAGGAAGATAAAGTTCAATTTAGTTTTTAATGCAATTCTAGTTTTAATAGAAAAAATAATCTGTCAAATTGATGTTTAAATTACTGTGGTAGAAATGAATTACAGCAACCCGTTATACGTCACCCAAACCAACTAGTCACACTGTCTAACTAAACTTGTCATGGCTAACTAAACTTTTAAATTAGCCGTTTAAACTACTCTATGTGCACATTTGTTATATCTCATCTTACCAGATAATATAAAAGTCTTCTATTACCTGTATCACTTGGTTGGCTGTCATGCATCAGTCTGACAAGGAATCACCATGGCTTCTAGTAGCTCCAGACGTACCAACCATGCATTTATATATTGAATATTTTTATTATCTATGATTTATGACCGTCTTATTGGACAGCCACCTGTCCTACAGTCAGTCTGTGAATTCATCATTATGTATTTTAGATTAGAATGTTGGTCAACTATGACTCAGAATTTTAACATTCACTCCACAGATCATGCACAAGTATGCAGATTATATAACTACTGACACAAGTTAGCAAAGCAAAGATGAATGGCATTTAAAGGAGATCCATACTTGAACTCCAATGATAATGAGAAAAAGCATTGGTAACTTATATTAAGTGCATGTAACATAAATATCCAGAGGAAATTGTTAAATTGTTCCCACTATTGTTCAAATAAAAACATGGGGGGGGGGAATTGTCAGCCATTTGGTTTTTAAAAACTGAATTTCCTCTTCCACCTGGTTTTGGGACTGGTATACTTGTGAATGCAGGACTCTTTTTTTTTTTTTAACACTTCCATAAACGCCAATATTGCTTGAAGATTTCGGCACAGGAAATTAGTTTTCATTTTGTCAGCCAACTCCAATGGACCCAGAAAGGCAAAGCTGAATACAAGTACATAACTCTGCCAAGGTTAACAAGGTGCTGTGAGCTGCTGAGAGCTGCTGACCGCACACTTATGAGGATTTAAGAAACAAAGGGGTAGGGTTTCAGTTTTTCCACCGGCTTTACCGTCGAGTACAAAACACCATACAAAGTGATTGCCATCTCAATATTTATTATATATAGTGACTCGTGGCATCATTGACAGCATACAGGTAAACAGACAAAAAAAAAAAAAAAAACACGAAAATTGGCTTAGAAATACTTACCAGCTTGCTTCAGGTTTGTGTGATTTAAAAAAAAAAAAAAAAAAGTATAAGGTATGTAATCTAAAATTACATTTAGGTCTTCCCCGCTGACTTAACAGGAGTTGCTTTATCTAGATTTGTCCAGTCTTATGAACAAGTTGAGAACTGATAATAGTCCCGATAATAAATAGTCCTTGTAATAAACAGTCCTTGCTTAATGAAGTTGGCATTCGGAAGTTTTGTCATGTTTTCAGAAACTTAGAACACCTACTTCAGCAGGTATGTGAGAGGAGCTTAAAAAACAAACTAAAGAGGAGTTGCAATTTATATTTTATAATTTTTTTATAATTGCATGTTAAAGCTGATGAAACATGTCAGGTACAATTTCCATGGTGCAACAATGTCATTTTTAAAAACACACAACACTCTTAATCCATTTATAAATAGATCAACAAGTAATGACGGCTGGAAATTCTCTCCACAAGCTGCACTTAGTCCCATATGCACAATGACAGAAGAAAGTAAATCCATCGATCCAAGTACCAAAAAGGAAAAAAAGAAAAGGGAAGCCAGGCATTCACAATCCTTTCATGCTCACCATATACCTATACTGTGTTTTAGGACAAGAGTCTCAGAAGAGTTGCCTGAATGTCTCAGGATCAATCTGGCTCAGTAGATGCAGATGTGAGAGGCAACGATCAGTGTAAATGGGTGATAAATGTGAACATGTGTAGGCTCCTTGAAAACAAGAGTCCCATTAATAGCAAAGGAGAGTGATACAGACAAAAGTTCAACAAGAAGGGGCTGGAGTGGAAACGGACCATTCAAACTATGGTGCTGATGGGGGTTTAAAATGGCTGGGGGAAAGGGGAAAATAATTCTGCATGCTTCCAGTTCAAGCATTTTCACTAGCCTCTACTGCCTGGTGTTTGACCAAGTGATCTGGCTTGTTGCCATTACTGTGGTGCTCCCACATCTGCAGATAGAGCCTCTCCAGGTCCATTGTGTACTGCTTGGTGTTGAAAAGAGGGCTGCAAATTCTCTGCTTCCAAACACGCGCTCGGACCATCTTCAGGCTATAGGAGGAGGGCAAGTAATCAGAGTTGGCAGGTGACAAAGGATGTTTAAAGAAGAAAAAAAAAAAGAAGAAGTGTTTAGGATAAACATCTACTTACTATTCCATGTCGGAGCCCAGTTTGACTGCTATGTCCTCATAGTCCTGGCGGCTTTGAGCTATTAGATCAGGGCAGCCCAGACAGTTGAGTTGGGAGGCAGCCACACGGGATGCAAGAGTCTCACCTACAGTGGTGTCAATATTTTAAAAGAAAACAGGTTTCAATTAACATTCTTCTCATGCTCATTTTTT